TTTACCAATCTTGTGCAAGCTAAACAAATCAGTGAAAGATGTAGAAAGAATCGTTCAGAAAATCAATGAAAATTCAAAATTTACCTAGTGGAAGCCATTCTTGGAACCTCGTTCCTATAATCTTCATGACCTGTTGTTGATTGCCAGCAATCGAAAAAGTATTATTGCCCTTAATACCAACGTTCACCAAATTGTCATTTACTTTCCTAATTCGATACATACCTTTTGTCCCGACCCCACGAAGGGCATTTTCTTTGGAACCGGTGGTTTCTTGTGATGCACATGATGCTTAACAGATTCTGGAGTTATAGTGGACTCAGTATCTTCTTCCACGAGTTCTTCGACTTCGTCTTTAGGTACAGTCTCTTCCACGGGTGGTTGCGCTTCAGTTTGCACTGCACGTTCATGTTCCGTATGCGTTGCAACATCACGATGTTCGGGAACGGGTGAGTGCATCTCCGTTATTTTTGCAGTCTACAACAAATTACTTTTAGACAATGAATCAAAAATGATAAGTGAAAATAGAACTGCTAGAAAGAAAAGGAAACAAAAGAAACTAAAAATAATAATGAACCTGAGCAACTCTGGGAGAGGTCTGATGCGATGTTGTAGGCCGAAAATGCATTCTACCTCGACCATAAATGGCTCTACCGATGACAACAGGCCTTCCGCGTTTTCCTCCATACCGTCGCTGACGATGAGGTGCATGTTCAAGTTCATTATCATGAATTGCTAATCGAGCTTCCGCTCCATCGAACATGTTGCTATGCCTAGAAAAAGCAAAAAGAATAGGAAAAGCAAAATAAGCAGTTCAGAACTCACGGATCAAATCGCTTTTCGAGTGCCGATGTACCATCAAAAGGGTTCAATCGATCCAAAGTAAAAGTTGGATACACGGGTTTTTGAGCAACAGAAGTAGATGAAGTGCTGTGTCTCCGATGATGCTTGTGGTGCTCTGGTGCACTCTTTATCCTATGTGTGATGACATGATACTTGACACATTTTGTTTCTCCTGCAATAATCGATTTATGGACAGAAAGATCAATTTTTGACATGATTTTTGACATTCACATATATTTTTTTTAGAAACCCCGACTAAACAAAGCA